TTTCATTATTTTATTTTTTGAAGTAAGTGTTTTACAAGAGCGTAACTGCAGGTTATTTAATAACTAGGTTATTGAACAAAGCCAATCGATAATTGATTGCATTGTAAGCAAACTTCGTTTTTTTTATAATTTTATTTATTATTTTTTTTATAATTTCATTTGTTATTTTTTGAAGTAATTGTTTCTGCAAGGGCGTAACTGGAAGTTGTTGTATAACTAGGTTATTGAACAAGGCCAATTTTATTAATTGCATTGCAGGGCATTCTTCAGGTTTTCTTATTTGCATTATTTTATTTTATATTATTTACAGTTTTGCTCAATATTTTCAGTCCTACATAGCAACTTCATTGTATGTAGGAATATCAATTGTTTTGAAACTTTCTAGATGAGATTCTAGAAAATTTATTTTGTTTGTGTATCAGGTTCACTGAACACAAAATTCAACTTGCTGTACCGACCGGAAACTCGCTCAGTAGGTTAAAAACTTGTAAGTCGACCTTGGTCTCCAACGTGCATTGTTGTTAATTCTAAAGGGTTTCGTTACAGCCAACTGTCGTTTCTCAAAGTTATGTTCAGGTAACATCAGTGAATATTTTCTTCAGTCTTACTTACAACCTCATTGTATGTAAGAATTTAACTTGCATCAGAGACTTTGGTTACATGGATTCACTGTAAAATCTAATTTGCTCATTCTTCTTACATAACAACTTCATTGTATGTAAGAATTTAACTTGTATAAGAGCCTTTGGTTAGATTTAGGTGACGAGGATTCAGTGGAAAATCTAATTTGCTCGTTCTTCTTACATAACAACTTCATTGTATGTAAGAATTTAACTTGTATTAGACCCTTTTGTTAGATTTAGGTGACATAGATTCACTGTAGAATCTGATTTGCTCGTTCTTCTTGCATATCAGCTTAATTGAGTGTTAGAATTTAAACTTTGTATTTTACGTTTAATGTAATAAAATAGGTTAGTAACTTGTAAGTCGACCTTGGTTGCCATCGTGCATTGTTGCTAATCCTGATTATTGTGTATTTTGCAATTAACTGCAAATTGCTTTCAATTAATTGTTTGAATTAATTAATGAATTAATTCTATTTAAATAATAGTATATTACATTACAAGTGTAGAAAGTGACAAATTTCACACGAGTGTTTTTTCGCGCGAGGCGGTAGCCGAGTGCGAAAATCACACGAATGTATGAAAGACGCTTTCTCACTAGTGATGTACACCATTTTTCCTACGACCAGAAACTGATTTACACCAATTTTCTCTTTTTTTATTTCTTCTCATTTTCAACACACGTGCTGAAAGTAATTTCAACTTTCAACCCACGTATTGGAAGTAAATTGTCAATGTCAATCACAAATGATGTCAACGCTATTTTCCACACATGTGCTGAAAGTACTTTTAGCACGCGTATTGAAAGTACTTTCAGTACGCGTGTGATATTAAGCGCTTTCCAAAGAACCAACTAGTGCGGATTTCGTCATTTTCGTATGAGGTCGTAGGAAAATAGTTATTCACATTGTTATAAATTTTTGTTTTTTTTTTATTTAATTGGCCTATTATAGGCCGGGCGCCCAATAGAAAACAACATCAAATAAAGATAACCCACGCCCATTGCCTCCTAAACTTTTGTCTGAGCAGCTGTAGGACAACCCAAAGAATAAGAATAAGAATAATTTATTCGATAAATACTATTCTACTAAAATTTTATTTTATTTTTATTTTTTTCTACTTAATAAAAAATGAATAAATTAAAATGCCGGCTAAAGTTTATTTAAATAAAGCTTGTGCGGCAATATGCTTAGATTTTTAGTTTACAGAACATTATATATGGTTAACTGTTCAGTTATTTAACAATTCTTCAATTAAATCTAGATTGATTGTGGGAACAAAAAAAAAAATAAAAATATATTTTTTCCACCAAAGCGACCAAAATATTACACAATCCTAGGGTTGTTCTTTAAGTCAACCAATGCATGAGTTTCATTTCTAGGCCTTTGGATAATCCATTCCCGTACTTTATATCGAAATAGTTTAAGTGACGTTATTGTTTTTAAATTGGGGGGGATTTTGTTGAAAGTTCTTGGACCTAAGAAGTAAAAACTTCTTTGGGTGTGTGTCAAGTCTATTTTGGGGATTTTAAATGTTAAGTATTGATTTTGCCTAGTTAAATATTTGTGTTCTACTTTACTTTCGCTCTTGTACACGGAATACTGCTTTGTTATTATGGTATGACAGTAAAGTTGTCGAGCATCCAAGACTCCAGATTCCTCATACAAAAGTTCAGTTGGGTAAAGATATTTTTTCCCAAAAATTATTTTCAAGACCCATTTCTGAGCCTTATCCAACTTATCCAGGTAGTTATTCGTGACTCCACCCCAAGCAACAATTCCATATGTAATGTGGCTCTGCACCAGAGCGAAGTAGACAGTTTTCAAGTGACTTACATCTAGGATTTCCTTTAGTTTTCGGAATTTACCCAATAAGGATCGTATTTTTTTTGTTATGTAGTCTACGTGCTTATCCCACTTCAAAAGCTGGTCCACATATATACCAAGATACTTAACATGCGAAACTCTCCCAATAATCACATCTTCGCATACACAAGAAGTGGTTATAGCGAGATGCTGGTACTGAGGAAGCTTCGATAACTGTGATGCAAAAGCCACAAAATTGGTCTTTGAAGAATTGACCGTTAAAAATTTACTTTTAAAAAAATGAAAGATTTTGCTTAGCTCAGATTCAACTTTCGATTTCAAAGCGGTCCAGTCACTATCCTGAAATACAATAGCGGTATCATCGGCAAAACATATTATATCTCCATCAATTCCAAGGTTAAAAAGTCTGTTCAAGTATAAATTGAAGAAAAGAGGGCTCAAAACCGTGCCCTGTGGCAAACCGCACCCGATTTTCGATTTTTGTCTATATTTATCACCAATTTGAACTGCTTGAGTGCGATTTGTGAAATAGTCTTTAATTAGTTTGTGCGAAACGCCTCTAAAGCCACCCTTAGCATTTCAGAATGGTTAACGGTATCAAAGGCTTTTTTTAAATCGATGAAGACTGCAATGACCGGTTTTTTGTTATCTAATGCTTTATAAATATTTGTTGTTAGTTCTAACAGGGCATCTTCTGTGGACTTATTTTTCCTAAAACCGTATTGTTTTTCTGATAAAACTTTGTATTTTTTAAGAAAACTATCAAAACGTTGTCTTAATATTCTTTCTAGAAGTTTGGCTAAGCTGGTTATTAGAGAAATAGGTCTGTAGTTATTGATATGCCTTTTATCCCCGTTTTTAAATATTGGTTTTATCACAGACTCCTTAAAAACTGGAGGAAAAACTCCTTGTTTAAAGCAGTTGTCAAAAAGAAACACTAACGGATCCGCAATTTCATTTGCTAAATGCTTTAGGGTCTCCGACTGAATCTGATCAACACCCGCTGCTTTTTTGCTTTTGAGTTTGTTTATTTCTTTAATAACCTCTGCGCGACTTATTCCTATCAAAATGAAGGAATTAGGAATACGCTCGGGAGGTTTTACCAAAATTTCATAACAAGGATCTATTTTTTCTGCCAAGTCTTTGCCTATATTTGTAAAAAAAATTGAGAAAAAGTTGGAGATTTCTTGACTATTTGTCGTTCGGGTTCCTGTATTAGATTTAATTTCCTCTATTACTCTTTTTGATTTTTGTTGGCTGATTTCTTTGACACATTCCCATATCTTTTTAGAGTTACCTTTGTTTGAGTTAATTTTTTTCTTAAAATAAAGCTTTTTCGATTTTTTTATTAGGTGATTTAGAATATTTCTGTGATTTTTATATCTATTTATGTTTTGTTGTGTCGGATTAGTCTTCGACAAGTTGTAAAGATTATGTTTATTCTGAATTGAGCGAAGCAATCCTTGGGTTATCCAAGGAGCTCTTTTAATTTTATGCGGTTGTATTGTGTGGAGTTTTGTGTTATTTTGAATATGACGTTTGAGCGTATTTACAAAAATATCCGCAGCCTTATCAGCATCTTTTAGCTGATATAAATGCTGCCAACTTTCGCCCTGGAGGTCCAATTTAAGCTTATTTATGTTTAAAACCGAGTGTGTTTTGCATCTCGGTGGATCAAGTTTTTCCGATTCAAAAACAAGTTGAAATAGGGTTGGGTAGTGGTCGGATATGGGATTATGCAAGACAATTGATTTTATTTTATGTGATACGTTTTTCGTTTTGTAGAAAATGTGATCCAAGCACGTCTTTGATGAAGGTCTGGTGATAGTATTGATAGTAGAAATGAAATTTGCTTCCTGCATAATATTTTGATAATTTAAGCTAATTTCAGTGTTTGAAAGGATATCAACATTTATGTCACCCACGAATATATGAAGATCTGGAGTCTTCGAGCAATTTTCAAAATACTCGTGTAATGCTTGTTGAAAGATCTCTACATTGGTTGACGGTAGCCTGTACAAAGCGGTGATTGAAACTGATTTATTTTGATGTTTTACTAAAAGCTCAATTGCATCTATTTCACCGATTTGCACTATACGAAAACTATAAGAATAACAGCTCTTTACATAGATAACAGTTCCATCATTTTGGTTTACTGTTCCATTGTTATAAATTAAGTCATACCCATCAATATTAAGAAGTGTTACATCATCAATCATGCGAGTTTCTGTTAGAACAATACAGTCGAATGGAATATTAAAAGTACTCATCTGCAATAAAAGTTCATCCAAATGTTTATTTAAGCTGCATATGTTTGAATGAAAGACTTTAAAGTCGAGATTTTTTACGTTGTAGAAAATATTTCGACATTCATTTGCTGATTTGGCGATTTCTGTTTTGATACTGTGCACTTCAAAATTTTGAATGTAAGGGTTCATTTTTTTTTTTTTTTTTAAATTTTTCTGTTATATCTATTCTAAGAATTAAATTTTTGCTTTTTATAACAGATATTATTCCAAAAATTGACCTTTATATAAATTTAAAAAGGAGTGCTAAACTACAGACTATTTTTTGAAGCAGGCTTCTTAGGCAACTGTTGACTGCTACTTTGTTGACCCTGACCTGGTAGTTCTTACCTTTGGCGTTTGTGTTATGGGAAGGTGATTTTTAACGGTTTTGGCTATAATTTTTTTCACCTTTTCATTCTGTTTTTTTTCTTCTTTCTTTGGATCCTTCTTTTTTATCTCCTCCACTTTTTCTGTTTGTACTTCTTGATTTTCTACCTCCAGGTCAAATATTTCCTCTTCTGAACTCTCGGAGTCCCTATGTGTAATAGTAGGGGTTGGTGGTGCACTTGTATTCAGGAAAATGGTGTGTTTGTCCACGATAGGCTCCAGGAACATTATTTTGTCTATTGTTCTTAAGTTCTCGGCAGTGTATTCCTCGTTGTTCACGCAAAGTTTATTTTTAATTATTTTGGCAGAGAATTGTTTTTGTTTTGCAATTTTCATATATTCATATAAAGTTTTACTTTCTGCTCTTTTTTCTGGTAGTAGATCTTTGGCCAAACTGATTCCAGTGCCTCTCAGTTTTGTTAAATTTTTGAAGATTTCTCTAACAGTCACTTCCCTAGTAAATTTTATTAGGATTGGCCTAGCTTTATTAGTTTTTTTTATTTTCGCCGATTCGATAGAAATTGTTCATTCAAAGTTGCGTTTATTTCCAGTTTGTCGTTGAGAAGATCTAATACAACGTCTTGTAATACTTCATTTTCTGCTTCTACTATTTTAAAGGCTAAGATGTTTTTCTTTCTAATTAGTTCCTCATGGAATGAAAGTTGTTTTTTTAAGTTAGCGTTTTCAGATTCTACAGCTTCTACCCTGTGCTTCAATATCTCAACCTCTTCCTTAAAATTTGTCACGTCCTGTTTTATGTCTTGGACATCGTTGCTGGTCTGTTGAAGCAGCTCGAAAATTTGTTTATTTGTAACGCTATCCATTTAATTTTATTCCGGCTAAATTGTTTATATAGTAGGCCCGTACCGCAAGACGCTTATCAGTTAGTACCAGTCGTACCGTACAGTTTTTGTTTTGATTTTAGATATCGGTGTCCTTGATTTTGTCTTATATAGTGAAAAACTTAAACATATTTTCCACTTACATGTTTAATAATAACATCACTCGATAGTGTTTTCTCTCAGCTACACGTCTGTTACACTTTTTTAATTATCTTTTTATTATGTTCGACTCAAAACTTTAAAATTCCGAAGAGCTATATGTGGGAACAGTATTCGCAGGTACGCATACTATGTAAAAAGCTGTGCACAAAGAAGTGATAACACGAATATAAACTTTCATCATTTCACTGTGATGATTTGTTTAGGGACTCCATAGCGGCAAAAAATTTCAGTACTCAGGATGTGACAGATATCACGTGATTGAGCTCGCTGGCATGGGAACGCGACAACGCCTCGACCCACTTGCTGAAAGCATCTTCGATCAGATCAATTAGAGTGTTCTTATTCGTCGAGGACTCTGGAGACGGTCCTAACACGTCGACTGACAGGGCTTCGGAGGGTTGTTCCGGTGCAGTGTGTGCACGTTGAGGTGCCGGCATTTGCCTTCTGGGCTTAGCAAGTGAGCACATGATGATGATGATGATGATGAGTTTTTAACGTGGATTTTCCTGAGGGTCTCCTGGTAACCGGATGCGCCTGATCCTCGGTGTCATGATGTGTGTGGATTACTTGGCTTGTTAAATTACGTGGTACGACTAGCCTGTCTCCCTCGGGCCGGCAGCGCCATAGTTAGTCCTCGGCCATGACGAACCTTCTGAATAGCTTTCGTTCGGAGTTAGTTGATGACCTCGCAGGTCAATTAATTAAGCGCCATTTTGGCGCGGCGGATATTTCGGAGAGTGCTCTGGGCCTCAGCAACTTTATCGTACAATGTTCCTGCATTCAGGGCAATAATCTGGACTTCGATTAACGGGATTTCTTCGCTACAATTATAGTGCAACGGTGGCAATAGACGCTCATCGTCAGGTAGTGCGTTATACGGGGCGTCATAAGGTTCTCGACTGAAGATGTCGGGAAGTTCATTATCTTTTCCAGCAACATACTCGATTTCAAAAGAATACTCCTGTAGAAGAAGTGCCCATCTTGTCAGCTTTGACTTCGTGTCTTTGAACTGACTTAGCCAAGTTAATGCCTTGCTGTCTGTGCGGACTATGAATGGCTTGTCCTCGAGGTAAGCTTGATAAGTGGTAATCGCCCACGCCAAGGGTAGGCATTCTTGTTCGTTGATGTGGTACTTAGTTTCCGCAAGTTTAAATTTGGCACTGGTGTGTGAAATGATAAATTTTCGCTCCCTGTCTTTCTGGTACAGCACAGCTGTACGTATGAAAGTCTCATCGAAATCCGGTCTACTTAACGGTTTCGCTTGTGCGATGATACGCTTGATTTTATTGAACGCTTCGTCAGCGTCAGGCGTTCATTTGAAGCCTTTCTTGCAGTTGGTCTTTAAAAGGTCCGCGATAGGTGCTATGACCTCGGCCATGTGCAGAACGTGTTCACGTAACCAATTGCACGTGCCAATAAATGATTGAAGCTGTTTTTTGTTCGCCGGACGGGAGAAGGTCTCAATCGGTTTAAAGTGTTAGGTTTGTGGAACGATGATGTCGCCTTTTATGTGGTATTCAAGATAGTCGAGTTCTTGAGTAGCTAGTTGGCATTTTGCTGCCGAGACTTGAGCCGAGAGTTTACGCACCTGTTGTAAGTGCTGAAGGTACCCTACAAAGACTTCTTGTATCGTACATTATTGGAAGGTACTTGGTGCATTTTTCAAGTCGAACGGCATAACAGTAAGCTGGCAGGGGTTGAGAGGGCGGTATACTTCTTGCCCTCCTCGTCCATTGGTATTTGCCAGAACCCGCACTTTAGATCGAGCAAGGTGAAGATTTTGGCTTGTGCTAAGGGCTTGACGCAGTCTTGGATGCGCGGCAACGTCGTGCTTTTTTCAGAAGTTATATCGTTTACAGCTCGGTAATCGACGCAGAAACAGGGTCGTGTCACTAGTACTGGTGGTGAAGCGCAGGCAGATGTTGGAGGCCCTATCACCTCAGCCTGCAGCATTTCGTTCAACTGCCGATAAAGGATTTTCCGCTTTTCCGGACTCATCGGATAGCAGCGCTCATTTATCACTTTTTGTTCCTTAAGTTGGATTCTATGCAAAGTAGTGCGTATCGTCGGTTGCCTGAGCCCGGTATCAAACAGTAATCTTGCACTAGGTCTTGAAACTCCTTGGTGAGGTGGTTATCTAGCGGGGGTAATTAAATTTCCCCCGACACTGTCCTTAGTTTAGAGTCCCAGAATATGGTTTTTCGGGCTTTCGCGCCCATGTATGCGCACCCTCTGGTAAAATCCAATATTTTTTCAGTCTCGAGCAGAAATGGCATTCCCAAAATTAACCCAGGTTCGATCCCTGGAACGACTAAGGAATTGTTTTTTATCGGAACCCCTTCAATATCTATGGTTTGTGTCGTATTCCCTATTATTTTGACGCTCTCGTCTTTACATGCTAGCTGTAGCCTTGTGCTGGTTCGCTTATAGCTGCTCGGTGTAATAAGGAAGTCACTAATTAAATTTACATCAGAGCCTGTGTCTGGGCTGGTACTGGCTTTTTGTGAAGTTTCATTTTGATGATGGGTCGGTTAGAGTACCGAGAACCCATGGCGCTAGTGCATAGGCCAACATGTCCTCCTAGCATGGAGTATTGGCTTCTTAGTAGTTTATTGGCCTTTTTTTTTATTTTTATTAGTCTGTTGGAGATCACCTCCAGAAGCTTTTGATTTAGTGTTATCGATTTCATTAGTGTCTTCCAATTCAATTAATTGCAGTCCAGAATCTGCATTGCTGCTCGAATTTCCAAAATAAGTCAACCCCTATTTTTTCCTTTTCTTGTTAGACAAAAATTGACGGAGATATAACGCTTTGAAATGTGCTTATTTTTCATACTCTATGACGTCACACATGCTCAATATAACTACAGTGTGTCCCGCTTAAGGAATGACCACCCTTCTAAAAATTTTATTTTTCAACCGATTCAATTATATTTTTTTTGTCTTATACTCTAATTTGGCACTTATTCGGCTCATCATTTTCATTTCTGCGGCTGTACTGGTGTACAGGGTGTCCACATTTAATGGCTCAAATTTCAATAAGTACTATTAGGGATTTTTTTAGAAAAAATCTGATAGCAGATTCTTGTTTAGAATGGTCTAAAACCCAAATGTACTAATTTTTGTTCCAATATGATACAGGGTGATCACAGAAAAATTTCAAAATTTAATGGACCAAAGCAGAAAAATGTCATATTTTGCGGCCTTGAGAACAACAAAACTTAATAAAAAAACATAGTTTCAGAACATCCTTAACCAAAACTTGTAGTAAGCTTGTCTCAAAATATGACATTTTTGCGGTTTGATTCATTAAATTGTCGAAATTTTTTGTCATCACCCTGTATCGTATTGAAACAAAAATTAGTACATTCGGGTTTTAGACCATTCTAAACAAGAATCTGCTATCAGGTTTTTTCTAAAAAAAATCCCTAATAGTACTTATTGAAATTTCAGCCTATAAATGTGGACACCCTGTACACCAGTACAGCCGCAGTAATAAAATTATGAGCCAAATAAGTGCCAAATTCGAGCAAAATATAAGACAAAAAAGAAATGAATTGAATCGGTTCAGAAATAAAAATTTTAGAAGGGTGGTCAGTGGTTAAGCGGGACACACTGTATATACACACAACTTAATATTTGTATAACTTTCGGAATAATCATATGTGGGCAAAATAAAAAAATATGCATAGATTTTTTTTCGGCCTCCTACAGTTTGCAATAAACAATAATCGATTTAATTTTTCAGTACAGTTCCCTATTGATTTCCTATCTGAACAATCATTTCATCAATAGTTGTGTGAGATAAATATGAAGGAATGGGATACTTTCACATTTTCCAAAAACATATTTAAATGATTCTTTTAGTCATTCGAATACTATCTGTATACCTTTTTTCCGAAAAAAAAACGCGTATTTTTGAAAAGAAAATTATTCAAAAATCGAATTTTTAAACTGGCGCGAAAACGCGAACCTGGTTTGTGACGTCACAAACCAAAAAATCAACAAAAATGCGAGGATGCCAAATTTCTCATTAGTAAATCATTACACATTTCACTAGCTAGAAACTATTTTCGTCCTTTACCACACTTTAAAAAAATAAGGGATAGGTATAATCCTTATTAACTCATTTAAATTTCGCATTTCTACATGTGGCAACAAAAACGTCAAAATCGGCTTTAGCCAATCAGAGGGCGTTTTCAATCACGTGATTTTTTGTGGATGGATAACAGTTTTGAGCTTTGATTGTGTTATCGATGTGGTTTTGGCTGCTGGCATCAACTTGATTGTCCCGTTTCCCTCGTGAGGACCGGAAATCTTGAACCAGTGGGCAACATAGGAATCTGGACTCTCTAAGGAATTTCTCGTATGAGTTTTCCTAGTAAATCGCAGGAATGTTCTCATTTGTAATTTTCGCACGTTGAGCAGTGCAACAAGTTTCTGGTAGATTTCACCGGCGGCGTTCCTCTTTTGCTGCGTTCTTTGGAACATCCACCTTTTGCGGGATTTTGGAGCTGTTGAAAGTCAAGTGGTAGCTGGCTTGATTTGTTTTGGGGTAAAAACCTGGATTCGGTCGTAAGTTCCCGTCTTGGTAAATAATCTACGCCATTTGGTTGAGTTGGAGGTGCGAAAATAAAGCACATTTTGTTCAACTAAAGCTAAAGCCTGAGGTGTAACCAGGTAAATTTAAAAGTTCACTGGCACTATCTACCGGTGACATCCTAATCATCTATCAATTAACTGTCAATTAGCAGTAACTGGTAGTTTATTTGAGACTGTATCCACCATTACTTTTTTTCGGAAAGTTGGAAAATCGCTAATAAACTCTTGCGACGTTCTGGCAACACTGCATTTTGATGCATTTTCAGATGTCATTTATGTGAATGTTTGTGGTAATGAACTTGTGTTGTTGATTGGAAAAACTCCCTCGAGTGCCAGAGCCAGACTCCTCCAAATTATTCAATTAATATTGATCCTAAAAAGAGCGAAAAAAAGGTGAGAA